AACTAAACAAACACTATCATGAACATACTGACAGTCACATAACTGTGGCTGTTCTTAAACCCCGGATTAACCCATTTGGGGATTATCGAATTATGGGTACGAAAGTTCGGTCCGTATTTTGTGTCTGGGTGTACGTCCAGTTAACAATTATTGTTTTTGATAAACCTGAGGCAAAACTATCTTTTTCCTTTAGATTTTCTTTATGGAATAAAAAACTAATTCAAAAAGTCCTCAAATTTCTTAACCTATCGATTTTACTAGGAACAGTACCGCCCGGTTTAACGGGATTGAACTTTAAATGAGTTCTTCTTGAGCTGCCGATGTGACGTTGAATCTTACTCACTCACTCACTCTTCTTGAGCCGATGATGGTGGTCAAAACAGATTGAAGGAAGCGCGTGTCGATCAGATATACCGCTTGCATTGTCTAAACAGACTTTCAGCACCAATAGTAATCTATGCCATATTTCCGAGTACCTGAGATTATAGCTGCCATTTCTCGCTGTTAGCTCAGTTACAGCCTGTACCGCCTCGGCATGTCTGTATCTCTGAATGTCAGCCATCCCAACAAGGTGAAACAGAAAAAGATGCAGCACACTGACTGCACAATGAACGAAAGTCACCTACGAAAGTGTTAATTCGGTCACACCACAGATTGTATGACTGATCCGTTGTACGAACATTGCACAATATGCTACCGTTCAAGGATTGGCTGAAAGGTCAACACCTGTTTGAAAGGGTTTTCATGAATCTATTACCCTCTCCAGTTTACAACGTTTATTTACACCACCATTGGTGGCGATCTATCGGATATATACTCAACAACAAAAGTTCCTGTGACACCACTATTTTAGTGTATTTTTCAAGCAAGTAAAGTTTGGTTTTCAATATTGTAGTACATGTATGGAATCAAATCACAAAAACGCAATTGCTACAGAAAAGCATGCATTCCATGCAAAAGGTGACTTTTATGCAAGCCCCATGCATTTCACAATCCAAGAATGGGTATAAAACATGTGCGTTAACGGGATTCCATATGCATTGTTTAGCATCGTGCTGACAACAACCACTCAGAAAAACAACAAAATTACGCAATTATTCAACATTACGAAATGCCACGCATGGCCGAAAATGATCGTCTGCGAGCTATTTGATATGCTTGAATCAGGATCGAGTCAACGTGATGTTGCAAGAAAATTTAACGTCCACAGAAACCCCATTTGGTGTTTATGGCAACGTTGGCAACAGACGAATGCAGTCAGAGACCATCCTCGGAGTGGCAGGCCACGCGTAACCAATAAGACAACTGGATTCGAACACCACACCTACGAAATCGATTCCAGCCAGCAACAGTGACTGCAAGAAGCGTCCCTGGCCTTCGTCGAATATCTTCACAAACCGTACGTCGCCGCCTCAGATGTGCAGGGATTGTCGCCAGTCCTATTTTGACAGGAAACCAACGTCAAGCACGTTTACAGTGGTGCAGACAATGTCTACGCTGGACGGCCATGCAGTGGGGACAAGTTCTATTTACTGACGAGTCTCGTTTTCACCTCAGCCACAGCGATGGACGGATTCGAGTGAGTGAGTGAGTATGGTTTTACGCCGCTTTTAGCAATATTCCAGCAATATCACGGCGGGGGACACCAGAAATGGGCTTCAGACATTGTACCCATGTCGGGAATCGAACCCGGGTCTTGGGCGTGACGAGCGAACGCTTTAACCACTAGGCTACCCGACCGCCCCCACCATGTGTACCGACGTCGAGGTGAACGTTACGTCAATCATTGTATCGTGGAAGAAGATCGGTTCGGCGGCGGCAGCGTTATGGTATGGGGTGGGACTACAGCAAGACAGAGGACCCGTCTGATAGTGGTAGAGAGAAATCTCAATTGACAGCGCTACCGCGACGAGATCATCGGCCCTGTTCTACCGTTTTTGTGTCGTCATGGCCCAGGCATTACCTTTCAACATGACAACGCCCAGCCTCATATTGCTCGACTTGTTCAGGATTCTCTTCAACAAAGCAACGTGAATGTCATCCCCTGGCCGGCTCGCTCCCCTGATCTCCCACCAATCAAGCACATGTGGGATGAGTTGGATCGGCGCCTTCGACGTCAACCACGTGTCCAAAGACACTCCAGGAACTTCGAAACATGCTCCAGCAGATATGAACAGATATCCTACTGGACTTTGTGCGAAGCCTGGTCGATTCCCTGAGACGAAGATGTGTTGCTTGCATCGCAACAAGAGGTGGACATACACGCTATTGATTTGTAAATTGACATTTTGGCATGTTCATGTGTTGTTGTTTTTTATGAAATCACGCATTTTCAAAAGTCAGTATGGAAAATTAAACCATCTGAACACTTACATGAGTCTTTTATCTGTTGCAAACCGAAATTGTTTCAGATTTGGTAAAAGACATAACTTTGCATTAAATCTTATTCAATGTCACAGGAACTTTTGTTGTTCAGTATATATACGCCTGACATAGGAAATTGATCCCATTGTGTCTGATGCAGTGTGAGGAGTCTCCATGGCATCTCGGTGAGCTAGCGTAAAAGAAGTTTGGTCTGGTAACGAGAGCGAGCGCACACATGTACGCACACACGCACGCACAGACACACACGCGCGGACACACACGCACGCACACGCACGCACGCAGCACACACACACGTCGTTTTTTTAGTGCAATAATCCTATACATAACGTTGAATCCCATTCCGTGCTGAATGGCCAGTGCATGTCATGTTGCCAGAGCAAGTTAACCAATACTTCACAACAGCATGGAAACAACCAGTGTGTTCGTGAACACTTGCCACTGGACCCGTGAAGATCCGGGGTAGAACAGGTCTTCAGCATCCCATGCTTGCCGTAAAAGGCGACTATGCTTGTCGTAAAAGGCGACTAACGGGATCGGGTGGTCATGCTCGCTGACTTGGTTGAAGCATGTCATCGATCCCAATTGCGTGGATCGATGCTCATGATATCAATCACTGTATTCTCTGGTCCAGACTTGATTATTTACAGACCACCGTCATATAGCTGGAATATTGCTGAATGCGGCGTAAAACAACAAACCAACCAAATCAAATCTTAACTGTTTTAGTCCAATCGAAAGTCGGCTAAACCTAAGTTGAACATAGATTTTATGAGATTTGCTCTTTTTCTGGAGGATTTACGTGTCTCATGGACAAATGTACAGTGCACAAACTCAGGAAGAAGGAACACGAGAGCTATCCGTGAATTCAAAGAGTTGAACCACCCCACCCTATACCCACCCACCCCCGACTCAATAAATCCATAGGTTCCTGTTCCTCAGAGCGATCTATTGTATGTAAGAATATCATAAAGATACCTCTCTCTGGATTGCTTCGCGCTTCTCTCACACATCAAGCTGACACGTCATGATATTACTGACATAACTGGCGTTGAACCAAATTCGCATGCTTCCCGTGACATGTCAAAATTTTAATTTTAAAAACATCACATAAACTGCACAAAGTGTACCCCGGCACACAGAGAGTAGATATCATCTTACGCCGCTGACAACAATGTCCCAGCTTGATTACAGCGGCATGTGAATAATCGAGTCTGGACCTAGCAAACCAGTGATTGTTATCATGAACAACACGACCCGTGAAGATCCGGGGTAGAATAGGTCTTCAGCAACCCATGCTTGTCGTAAGAGACGACTATGCTGGTCGAAAGAGGCGACTAAAGGGATCGGGTGTTCAGGCTCGCTGACTTGGTTGATGCATGTTATCGATCCCAATTGCGTGGATCGATGCTCATGATATCAATCACTGTATTGTCTGGTCCAGACTTGATTATTTACAGACCACCGTCATATAGCTGGAATATTGCTGAGTTCGGCGTTAAACAACAAACACACACGAACAACGATCAACGCCGTCAGGGTATGTCACACACTGCCTCCATCAGTCAACACTTACACAAGCAAGGGGCACGGGGTATGGAGATACCAGGCGATCTATAAACCGGCCTCAGCGCCGAGACGTTCCTAGCTCCCATACGTTAACATAGACTTACGACAGTCATAACGCTAAGATCACTTTGTGGAACCTACCCTGTTTTCAGTACTATTCTTCATATATACACTATTCAAATACAGCTGTATTGTAAACATTGATAAAAACAACAACAATATTTAAGTCAATTGCATATTTTATTTGTCATAGTCATGACCTTGACCTTGACCTTGGAAAGCGATAACAAAGTAAGTGTTGCAATCATATGTTGAGACCTGTCGTCAATACACTGGCTGCATCTTTCTGGATTAAAGAGTTTTTACCCGTCACAAGTATTTCAAACATGTATTCGCGTTTCCCATTTTTGGTGCCTGCTAAATAAGCTAAATAAGAATGTCCATCATTTTAATCTCTGTTTCTCCCTGTTTTAAGACCACTGCCTAAATCCACCATACGTGTAGAATTTCAAGCTCCCACAACACGGTGCTTTAAGAGTTCAAGGGCAAGTTCACACGGAAATTAACCTATTTTTCTTGTACTATTTCCACTTTAAAAGTGTTAACCTAGAAGTGTCATAGACAAAAATATAAAAATATCACAATTAATCAACATATTTTTCGCATTAAAGCTATTTATATTTTTCACATTTACCAAGTGTTCTATTTCCATAACAAAAACACCATGGCTTATGCCTCTTGCAATATGACGTCATTGTGCCAATTGATATGTGTGTGATTCTTGCGTCTCAGATGCCAGCTAGCATAGTGTTATGCTGAGTCACCACTGCGCCGGAGTGTGTCGTAGGCCATGTTGTTTTACCGCAAACCGGTACTTGATATCTTTTGCGTTGAGAATAGACAAGGACCCAGTTGAATTGGCACCAATTACGTCATAATCTAAGGGGGTTAACTCAGGCCTGTTTAGCTCGAAAAACGAAGGCCTCATAACGGCATATCATTTTCACACTATTGTGAGCTTCCTACTTTCACTGTGAAAAAATGAGTGTATATTTTCAAACACAGATACTAACTAATTCTAAAATTGCGTTTTGTTTAGAAAAAGAAAGAAAGTAACTTTTGCGTGTACACTTCCCCTTTAACTATTTGCAACCAATCAATAAAATACAATGCCAGCCGAAGTGTACAAACAAGAGGGAATACAACGTTATTTAGACTCCTTCCAGTGTATTTGGACGTGGAGTCTTCCCTAGAATTATTTCCGGACGTTTAAGCCAAACATGGACATGAGCGAGCCGGACATTGGCGAACTCGAATGGGTGTTTCGGTGATTCGGTTGTTGCACAGGCGGGGGAGCGTTTGGAGTTTCACCTCCTTCCTGACTGCCAAACAGCCACCCATTCGCTTCTGAAGGTTCTTCTTGCTGTGGTTGTCGCTGCTGCCGTTGTCGCTGCCTGTCAGGTTGCCGATTGTTACTTTGGGGAGACTGTGACCCATCACCATAGTTCGTGTTTGATGTCGGCGCCCCCGGAACGAGTTTAGTTCTCAAAACATCCACTGAATCAACAAAATATATTGTTTGTTGTTTAACGCCACAAATGTTGAATCTTGACCTCAAGCTGAAAGCTTTCTAAAGAGTATTTACTCGTTCACTCACATCTTCGAATATCCAGCGTTTTATACACTGGATAATTGAGGAAGATGCTTCGTTATTTTCTTTATTCACTGCTTATGAAATAATTAATTTTCCGGTAGACATTTACACAAAAGGTATAAAATAAATAGGATATTTCATATGTCTCGTGAAATATCATGTTTCTCTCATCTCGTGACATGGGAAAAGGAGATATTTTCACACGTGGCTACGCCACGCGTGCAAATATCTCGCCCCCAACCCCCGTCACTCGATGAGAGAATCATGATATTTCACTCGACACATAAAATATCCTCTATAAATGTTTATAATAAAATCATCATAAGATGATGTATTTGTAAAGTACAGCACATCCAACTGAATCAATTAAGAAATAACCCAAAATGGATTAACTGTGTGTGCTTACTTCCTTTGTTCATCTCGCCTTGTAAGTGCCGTAGCGCTCTTTCAATTCCGGATTTTGTAATATGAAACGAGGGACGTGATTGTTGAGATGAGTACTGTGACCTTGAATGTGACCGTGACCGTGAATCTGAAAGGTGATAACTGATTGATTAGAGAAGCTTGTTTCGATGATAGAGGACACACCATTAAATATTCTACGGATGGCCTGGCATTTTTCTTTGAGACAGGATGCATTTTCGGTCTGTCTGTTTCGGTCTGTTTATGATAAACTGAGGAGCCGAAAAAAATAATTCTTTTGGTAAGACCAGAGGTAATTTTCTTTCAGTTCCATTAGGTTTGGAACAAATAAAAAAAGTGGATGTCTTGTACACCAAGCTTGTTGCCCCGTGTGATCCCAGCCAGAGGGAATCCCTCGTACATCAAGCATGTTGCCCCGTGTTGTCCCGTGTGATCCCAGACAGAGTGGATCCCCGATACACCAAGCTTGTTTCCCCGTGTGATCCCAGCCAGAGTGAATCCCTAATACATCAAGCTGGTTGCCCCGTGTTGTCCCGTGTGATCCCAGCCAGAGTGAATCCCTAATACAACATGCTTGTTGCCCCGTGTTGCCCCGTGTGATCCCAGCCAGAGTGAATCCCTAATACACCAAGCTTGTTGCCCCGTGTTGTCCCGTGTGATCCCAGCCAGAGTGAATCCCTAGTACAACAAGCTTGTTGCCCCGTGTTGTCCCGTGTGATCCCAGCCAGAGTGAATCCCTAGTACAACAAGCTTGTTGCCCCGTGTTGTCCCGTGTGATCCCAGCCAGTGTGGATCCCTTGTACATCAAGCTTGTTGCCCCGTGTGATCCCAGCCAGAGTGAATCCCTTGTACATCAAGCTTGTTGCCCCGTGTGATCCCAGCCAGAGTGAATCCCTAATACAACGAGCTTGTTGCCCCGTGTGATCCCTGCCAGTGTGGATCCCTAGTACATCAAGCTTGTTGCCCCGTGTTGTCCCGTGTGATCCCAGCCAGAGTGGATCCCTAGTACATCAAGCTTGTTGCCCCTTGTGATCCCAGCCAGAGTGAATCCCTAATACAACGAGCTTGTTGCCCCGTGTGATCCCAGCCAGTGTGGATCCCTTGTACATCAAGCTGGTTGCCCCGTGTTGTCCCGTGTGATCCCAGCCAGAGTGAATCCCTAGTACAACAAGCTTGTTGCCCCGTGTTGTCCCGTGTGATCCCAGCCAGTGTGGATCCCTTGTACATCAAGCTTGTTGCCCCGTGTGATCCCCTGTGATCCCAGCCAGAGTGAATCCCTTGTACATCAAGCTTGTTGCCCCGTGTGATCCCAGCCAGAGTGAATCCCTAATACACCAAGCTTGTTGCCCCGTGTTGTCCCGTGTGATCCCAGCCAGAGTGAATCCCTTGTACATCAAGCTGGTTGCCCCGTGTTGCCCCGTGTGATCCCAGCCAGAGTGGATCCCTAGTACATCAAGCTTGTTGCCCCTTGTGATCCCAGCCAGAGTGAATCCCTAATACAACGAGCTTGTTGCCCTGTGTGATCCCAGCCAGTGTGGATCCCTTGTACATCAAGCTGGTTGCCCCGTGTTGTCCCGTGTGATCCCAGCCAGAGTGAATCCCTAGTACAACAAGCTTGTTGCCCCGTGTTGTCCCGTGTGATCCCAGCCAGTGTGGATCCCTTGTACATCAAGCTTGTTGCCCCGTGTGATCCCAGCCAGAGTGAATCCCTTGTACATCAAGCTTGTTGCCCCGTGTGATCCCAGCCAGAGTGAATCCCTAATACAACGAGCTTGTTGCCCCGTGTGATCCCTGCCAGTGTGGATCCCTAGTACATCAAGCTTGTTGCCCCGTGTGATCCCAGCCAGAGTGAATCCCTAATACACCAAGCTTGTTGCCCCGTGTTGTCCCGTGTGATCCCAGCCAGAGTGAATCCCTAGTACAACAAGCTTGTTGCCCCGTGTTGTCCCGTGTGATCCCAGCCAGAGTGAATCCCTAGTACAACAAGCTTGTTGCCCCGTGTTGTCCCGTGTGATCCCAGCCAGTGTGGATCCCTTGTACATCAAGCTTGTTGCCCCGTGTGATCCCAGCCAGAGTGAATCCCTTGTACATCAAGCTTGTTGCCCCGTGTGATCCCAGCCAGAGTGAATCCCTAATACAACGAGCTTGTTGCCCCGTGTGATCCCTGCCAGTGTGGATCCCTAGTACATCAAGCTTGTTGCCCCGTGTTGTCCCGTGTGATCCCAGCCAGAGTGGATCCCTAGTACATCAAGCTTGTTGCCCCTTGTGATCCCAGCCAGAGTGAATCCCTAATACAACGAGCTTGTTGCCCCGTGTGATCCCAGCCAGTGTGGATCCCTTGTACATCAAGCTGGTTGCCCCGTGTTGTCCCGTGTGATCCCAGCCAGAGTGAATCCCTAGTACAACAAGCTTGTTGCCCCGTGTTGTCCCGTGTGATCCCAGCCAGTGTGGATCCCTTGTACATCAAGCTTGTTGCCCCGTGTGATCCCCTGTGATCCCAGCCAGAGTGAATCCCTTGTACATCAAGCTTGTTGCCCCGTGTGATCCCAGCCAGAGTGAATCCCTAATACACCAAGCTTGTTGCCCCGTGTTGTCCCGTGTGATCCCAGCCAGAGTGAATCCCTTGTACATCAAGCTGGTTGCCCCGTGTTGCCCCGTGTGATCCCAGCCAGAGTGGATCCCTAGTACATCAAGCTTGTTGCCCCTTGTGATCCCAGCCAGAGTGAATCCCTAATACAACGAGCTTGTTGCCCTGTGTGATCCCAGCCAGTGTGGATCCCTTGTACATCAAGCTTGTTGCCCCGTGTGATCCCAGCCAGAGTGAATCCCTAATACAACGAGCTTGTTGCCCCGTGTGATCCCTGCCAGTGTGGATCCCTAGTACATCAAGCTTGTTGCCCCGTGTTGTCCCGTGTGATCCCAGCCAGAGTGGATCCCTAGTACATCAAGCTTGTTGCCCCTTGTGATCCCAGCCAGAGTGAATCCCTAATACAACGAGCTTGTTGCCCCGTGTGATCCCAGCCAGTGTGGATCCCTTGTACATCAAGCTGGTTGCCCCGTGTTGTCCCGTGTGATCCCAGCCAGAGTGAATCCCTAGTACAACAAGCTTGTTGCCCCGTGTTGTCCCGTGTGATCCCAGCCAGAGTGAATCCCTGATACACCAAGCTTGTTGCCCCGTGTTGTCCCGTGTGATCCCAGCCAGAGTGAATCCCTAATACAACAAGCTTATTGCCCCGTGTGATCCCAGCCAGAGTGAATCCCTAATACACCTAGTTTGTTGCCCCGTGTGATCCCAGCCAGAGTGGATCCCTAATACACCAAGCTTTTTGCCCCGTGTGATCCCAGCCAGAGTGGATCCCTAGTATGTGAAGTTTGTTGTCCCGTGTGATCCCAGCCAGAGTGAATCCCTCGTACATCAAGCTTGTTGCCCCGTGTTGTCCCGTGTGATCCCAGGCAGAGTGGATCCCCGATACACCAAGCTTGTTGCCCCGAGTGATCCCAGCCAGAGTAGATCCCTAATACAACAAGCTTGTTGCCCCGTGTGATCCCAGCCAGAGTGGATCCCTTGTACATCAAGCTTGTTGCCCCGTGTGATCCCAGCCAGAGCGGATCCCTAATACATCAAGCTTGTTGCCCCGAGTGATCCCAGCCAGAGTGGATCCCTAGTACATCAAGCATGTTGCCTCGAGTGATCCCAGCCAGAGTGGATCCCTAGTACATCAAGCATGTTGCCCCGAGTGATCCCAGCTAGAGTGGATCCCTAGTACATCAAGCATGTTGCCCCGTGTGATCCCAGCCAGAGTGGATCCCTAGTACATCAAGCATGTTGCCCCGAGTGATCCCAGCCAGAGTGGATCCCTAGTACATCAAGCATGTTGCCCCGAGTGATCCCAGCCAGAGTGGATCCCTAATACATCAAGCATGTTGCCCCGTGTGATCCCAGCCAGAGTGGATCCCTAGTACATCAAGCATGTTGCCCCGAGTGATCCCAGCCAGAGTGGATCCCTAATACAACAAGCTTATTGCCCCGTGTGATCCCAGCCAGAGTGGATCCCTAGTACATCAAGCATGTTGCCCCGTGTGATCCCAGCCAGAGTGGATCCCTAGTACATCAAGCATGTTGCCCCGAGTGATCCCAGCCAGAGCGGATCCCTAATACATCAAGCATGTTGCCCCGTGTGATCCCAGCCAGAGTGGATCCCTAGTACATCAAGCATGTTGCCCCGAGTGATCCCAGCCAGAGTAGATCCCTAATACAACAAGCTTGTTGTCCCGTGTGATCCCAGCCAGAGTGAATCCCTCGTACATCAAGCATGTTGCCCCGTGTTGTCCCGTGTGATCCCAGGCAGAGTGGATCCCCGATACACCAAGCTTGTTGCCCCGAGTGATCCCAGCCAGAGTGGATCCCTAATACAACAAGCTTGTTGCCCCGTGTGATCCCAGCCAGAGTGGATCCCTAATACATCAAGCTTGTTGCCCCGTGTGATCCCAGCCAGAGTGGATCCCTAGTATGTGAAGTTTGTTGTCCCGTGTGATCCCAGCCAGAGTGAATCCCTCGTACATCAAGCATGTTGCCCCGTGTGATCCCAGCCAGAGTGAATCCCTCGTACATCAAGCATGTTGCCCCGTGTGATCCCAGCCAGAGTGGATCCCTAATACATCAAGCATGTTGCCCCGTGTGATCCCAGCCAGAGTGGATCCCTAGTATGTGAAGCTTGTTGTCCCGTGTGATCCCAGACAGAGTGGATCCCTAGTACATCAAGCATGTTGCCCCGTGTGATCCCAGCCAGAGTGGATCCCTAGTATGTGAAGCTTGTTGCCCCGTGTGATCCCAGACCGAGTGAATCCCTAATACACCAAGCTTGTTGCCCCGTGTTGTCCCGTGTGATTCCAGCCAGAGTGGATCCCTAATACACCAAGCTTGTTGCCCCGTGTTGTCCCGTGTGATCCCAGACAGAGTGAATCCCTAATACAACGAGCTTTTTGCCCCGTGTGATCCCAGCCAGAGTGGATCCCTAGTATGTGAAGTTTGTTGTCCCGTGTGATCCCAGCCAGAGTGAATCCCTCGTACATCAAGCATGTTGCCCCGTGTTGTCCCGTGTGATCCCAGGCAGAGTGGATCCCCGATACACCAAGCTTGTTGCCCCGAGTGATCCCAGCCAGAGTAGATCCCTAATACAACAAGCTTGTTGCCCCGTGTGATCCCAGCCAGAGTGGATCCCTAATACATCAAGCATGTTGCCTCGAGTGATCCCAGCCAGAGTAGATCCCTTATACAACAAGCTTGTTGCCCCGTGTGATCCCAGCCAGAGTGAATCCCTAGTACATCAAGCATGTTGTCCCGTGTTATCCCAGCCAGAGTGAATCCCTAGTATGTGAAGTTTGTTGCTCCGTGTGATCCCAGCCAGAATGAATCCCTAGTACATCAAGCATGTTGCCCCGTGTGATCCCAGGCAGAGTGGATCCCTAATACAACAAGCTTGTTGCCTGTGTGATCCCAGCCAGAGTGAATCCCTAGTACATCAAGAGTGGACCCCTAGTACATCAAGCATGTTGCCCCCTGTGATCCCAGCCAGAGTGAATCCCTCGTACAACAAGCTTGTTGCCCCGTGTGATCCCAGGCAGAGTGGATCCCTAATACAACAAGCTTGTTGCCTGTGTGATCCCAGCCAGAGTGAATCCCTAGTACATCAAGAGTGGACCCCTAGTACATCAAGCATGTTGCCCCCTGTGATCCCAGCCAGAGTGAATCCCTAGTACATCAAGAGTGGATCCCTAGTACAGTCTTCTCCAGGCCTGTCATACCGCGCCACTCTGAGCGAGCTGTATATCGGGATTGAGGCCACGGGACCACACCCACGGGAGAACAGCGTGCTCGATATTTGCCTGATGGTTTATGGGACCCTAGCGCAAGTATAACACTTCTTAAATATAAATGACGAAAGTTTCCTTCATTTTTGTTCAAATATCCTAAAACTCACCCTGGGAACTCCGATGCCGGCCGAACATGGACTCCGCCATGTTGGACCAGGCCAGTACAAGAGCAACTGCTGCCAGGAACCTCATGGTATTCATGGCCACGCTGTCTGAGTAGGGCTGTTGGTATGTCACGACCTTGTAAATATACCCAGAACTGAGGAGGGTAATCTCACTCCTTTGTGCCACTCCCTTATATACTGAACCCCAGAGAGCTTTCGTGTCAATAGCTATTGATTATCAACCACTGAAAAACTCACTTTTTCGCCGAATAGATGAAACAAAATAATTTCGTGATTCATGTCATTATAAGGTTTTTGGTCAAGGTTTTTATGTGACAATCCGAAATTAGTAATAACGACATAAAACACACAAACACATCTTGCATGTCTAGTGACAGTTCAACACGGCCCCAACTTGATTAGAAAGTATGCGGGCGACAAGTGGGTCATCTGGGATTTTTTGAAAACGGAACAAAATTCTGAATTTCATGATGGTGGAAGAAGCGAATACGAAAGAACTCTTGACTTTCAAGAAAGCAGTTTTGGTGTTGCATCAATATTGTCTAGGGATGCAGATAGTTAGATGTTTAAGTCTACCTTTGTCGTATCAGGGACGAGGCTGCATACGCTGATAGGTGAGTGAGTGAATATTGTACTGAAAGTCGCAATCAACAATATTCCACTTACATCATGGCTTTTGTAAATATCCAGGACCAGGTTAACCAGAGACAAAAAGCATTAGTATCGACCCACATCATCTGGGAACAATGACACACAATTTGTTTGTTTTATTTATTCAGTAATGAGGCCATCGGCCCATTATACAAGTATATACTGACATACGTATAAAATAACACCTGTGTAGTACTGTTGACGCTCTCTGTCATATATACAGTACCAGGGGAACGGGTGGCCCAGTCGTCTAAGGCGTCGTCTAAGTTGCGTCCCTTGGGCAATTTAGAAACCTATGATTGTGGGTTCGAATCCCGGTTCGCCCCGATTATGTTTCTAGGTTTGTCAGCACCATACCCGTGCTCGTTGGTTTCACCGAAGTGGTAAACGTCTGAGACCTGCATCACTTCGAGCTTTCCTCCCACATTAAGCTGACACGCCTGGAATGACACATAACTGGAATGCTGTCAAAAGCAGCGTTAAACCCAACTCACTCACTCACAATATATACAGTACCAGACAGCTGTCACCGGGTCGATAAACCAGTCTAGGCACGGTCTAGTGACCACACAGCTCCCCTCTCCTTTAATTGTCCGGTTTCCGTCACCATTCGGCAAAGTCCGGCGGTCATCGTTGTTCAGTGCCTTTCCATTTCATTGTAAGAGAACAAGTGACGGCTATATTTTTTTCTCCAGCGATCTAATCGCACACTTTTCTCATGTATTGATTTAATATTTGTTATTTTATATATCTTTGCTACCTTATTCATGTGTTGAAAATGTTTTTTGTGACATACATATTTTTTTCATACATTAGCCGGATTATCGCGTTTTTGTAGATATGTCTCACATATGGTCATATTTGCCACATTAATACAGATCTGGTTGTAAATCTTTAGTGGTACGTGTGATAGCTTATATTCAGCGCTTTATGCTGGTACTAACATCTATTCGGGTTTTCCCCATGTTAAGAAACACACTTGGCGAAATGCTCCATGCTTTTGCATTCCCACCGCTGACCAGGAAAGGTTGGCCTCTCCGACGTCCGCGCACACGTATAAAAAAAACCCTGTCAAAGTCAGGTGTCTTCATCTCCAGGCGACGTTAGGCCTCAACTTACTCTAGATGTACTGAGATAAGCTTATTTGCTAGGGTTTTTCATACTCTAGTAATCCGTGAATAACCAACCTTCCCGCGATTGTCTAGTTAAGTTTTGTACTTTTGGGAGTCAAGTTACTCTTTTTGTCAAGTACCTTTTTCATTTTTAGTGAGTCTTGATACTCCTTAGGTCAAGAACCTTTATTCTTGGGAAGCTTAGAATTTCCTTTCTATAAGACAAGTTTGCTATTCATGCGTCTTTCGCCTATTCTATTTCCTAGAGACTTATTTTAGGGATAGACCGTCTGTGTTTATTTCCCGCTATTTAATCCAGGCAAGGTTATTCACTCATTAGAGTGTTGAGTTAATTAACTCCGGTGTAAATTGGTCGCAGCCCACTTATTTGGCTGTCTATGCATGTTGCCAATATCTTGTCAAAGTGTTGTTTCAGCTGCTCTCATTTTGTTACTGTTATTCAGTTGCTAAGCTAATCAGCTTGTGTATTTGCTCTGACTTAATTAATCAGTGATCATTGTCAGTGCAGATAGGGTTTTTGATTCTTTGTTTTATCGCCTATTGATACAATTAGCTGATGGTAATAAACCTATGAACCTATAACTACGCTTTCATTGTGACTTGATTCTTGTTTAATTACACACTGGTCTTTGGAGCACAGCTCCGTGACAACTGTATTTCTACTTCGGATACTCAATAACATATTTAAAACATCTAATACGTCTTGTCCGCCTCCGTGGTCTAGTGGTAGGGCGTCCGCCCGGAGAGCAGAAGGTCCGGGGTTCGATCCCCGGCCGCGTCATACCAAAAGACGTTAAAAGATGGTACTTGTTGTTACCCTGTCTGGCGCCCGGCATTAAGGGGCTAAAACAAGGACTGGTCGGCTCGGAGTCAGTATATTGTGTCTGAGTGGGGTATTCATGTTCAACTGCGGCATGGTATCTCAGTGGGCTAGCTCTATAAATCGGCATCAGTCCGGACTAGTACAAGCAGCCACACACACACACACACACACACACACACACACGTGCATGCACGTCGCTCTATAAGTGCAATAATCTTGGACGCGACGTTAAACCCAATTTCACCTCACCTCTATTACGTCTTAAGTGATAAGAAGATATATTTACCTAAGCTGTCATGTAAGAACGGATTTGAGCTGGAGAATAGCATTTTCAGTTTTGGCTGGTTTGAATAGACACAATAATAATTTGGTAGAATAATATCTGTAAGTTCTCACTAATGTGGGTATTATAGTGCTAGCCAACTAAGATACAATGTTACAGTTAAACATGGATACCCCATCCCGACACGGAGGTGGGATTTATTCCACACATGAGGGGTTCGATTTCCGCCAATCGTATTTTTTATGTCCCCGTTGTGAAATGGATAAAACGGTTTATACCCACCCTGAAAAATAACCCCTATCGTTGATAAAGTATAATTTGCCAGGACAGCAAGATATGGAGGGACAAGTGAGTGAGTGAGCTTTTAACAGTATTCCAGCGTAATGTGGGAGCAAAGACCGAAGTCATGCAGATCTCCGACGTTTACCACTTTCGTGAAACTCACGAGCACGGGTATGGTGCTGACAAACCTAGAAACATAATTGGGTCGAAACGAGTTGCGAACCCACAATCATAGGTTTCTGGCGTGCCCAATGGACACAACTCTGCACAGCGAATTGTGGCGCTTTAGACGATTGGGCTACCCGTGCCCCCTCTGGTGACAAGATTTGGCTTGACATAGTGTAGTCACGTGGGAAATCAATGCGTGTAGGGCGGTCGGGTAGCCTAGTGGTTAAAGCGTTCGCTCGTCACGCCGAAGACCCGGGTTCGATTCCCGACATGGGCACAATGTGTTAAGCCCATTTCTGGTGTCCCCCGCCGTGATATTGCTGGAATATTGCTAAAAGCGGCGTAAAACCATACTCACTCTCTGCCTATGACGTACCACTTAAGGAAGTAGCGTTTAGTTTGATTGTACAGTAAACTACGTTTATAACGAACACGCTCATAACGAACTGACCGATATAACGAACTTATATTTTAGTCCCGGCCATTTGTTGCATATATGCTGTATATGTGCCTATAACGAACTACGGTTATTACGAACTAGAATAAGTGGTCCCTTTGAGTTCGTTATAACCGTAGTTTCCTGTAGATACGTATTTATGCTGGTTTGACTTTGACCGCCACTGTTACAACGGCCTCAATTGTTTTTCGTCAATTCGTCGTCCCGACTGCTTTAACAGATTCCTGAGGGGGGCACGGGTGGCCCAGTCGTCTAAGGCGCCGCGATTAGCTGTGCAGAGTTGCGTCCCTTGGGTACGCCAGAAACCTATGATTGTGGGTTCGAATCCCGGTTCGCCTCGATTATGTTTCTAGGTTTGTCAGCACCATACTCGTGTTCGTGGGTTTCACCGAAGTGGTAAACGTCGAAGACCTGCATCACTTCGGGCTTTCCTCCCACATTAAGCTGACACGCCGTGATATAACTGGAATACTGTTAAAAGCGGCGTTAAACCCAACTCACTCACCCACTCAGTCAAATATTCCTGAGAAGTTTCACTGATTTATGATTGGTTGGCATTCAATATACATGGTCAAAGGGTCACAAATTTTCTACTTCTTAGTTCCTAATAGACTAACGATAAATTTGAACCTGTTTCTATAGATTGACGTACATGATGTGGGCAAGAATCCATTTCACTAGATCTTGTGTTAGTGAGTGTGTTGGGTTTTATGCCGCTTTGAACAGTGTTTAAGGAATGCCACCGCGGGTCAGCTTGATGATGGAGGAAAGTCTAACGATGCAGGTCTTAGACGTTTACCAATTTGTTGAAATCCAAATTTGCCTGATCATGAACCTTGTTTTGACCTGGTGTATTTTCCCCGTCGAGGAGCTAGTCGGGGACTGACTGACTGACTGACTGACTGACTGACTGACTGACTGACTGACTGACTGACTCACTCACTGACTCACTCACTCACTCACTCACTCACTGAATTCTTCGTCAAAATAAAATGAATTGTATAAAAATGATTAAATTCCCTCGTTTGTTTCAAGAAAAGGATCATGTACTCCTTATCAACTCGTATAGAGTTTCCACTGCAAATCGACACACTGGTTGACTAGCCTGTGTTTGTACCCTTCGTCATCACTCGTTCAGTCGTGTCGAACTGGTCAACGTACTGTTGAAGCAAGTCATGCAAAAAACATCTTGAATAGCCTTATAAGAGTAATGAACAATATGTCACAATTAAGTTATTTGTCAAATATACGGTTGTGTAACCCATAATTTTGAACCCGAGGATGGATCTTTCAGTCATTTAAATTTATCGATGTTGATACCACCCCTTAATGACGATTGTACGATAAAGCCTATAGCTCAACTGACAAAGGTCATTTCTAGTCAATTGGCGTCTTGGACACTACGGTAGTAAGGTTATTACAATTTACGTAAAAAGTTATTACATTTTACCGCAAGTTGAGATTATTACAATTTACGTCAATTTTTATTACAATTTGCGTATTACAATTTATGTCAAATTTTATTACAATTTACGTTGTTATTACAATTTACGTCAAAAATATTACAATTTGCTGCAAGTATTACAATTTACCTTTTTATTACAATTTACGTCGTAACAGGGCGCAAGGGTTGCCCGGCTGTCTCAATTGCCACAATTCGTTGGTTGTGCAGAGTTGCGTCCCTTGGGCACACCAGAAACCTATGATTGTGAGTTTGAATCCCCGCTCGCCCCGATTATGTTTCTGGGTTTGTCAGCAACATACCCGTGCTCGTGGGTTTCGCCAAAATGCTAACGGCTGAGACCTGTACACTTCGGTCTTTTCTCCCACATTAAGCTGACACGCCGCAAATTTAACTTGAATATTGTTAAAAGCAGCGTTCACCCCAACTTACTCACCTCATCGACTCTGCTTTCACATAATTGTTAATTGTGTATATAAGACTTGTTATTCCGCGGACTCCGCTTATAACGAAGTTCGATACAGCGACATGCAAGTTATAACCAACCCAACCCTTCGTACAGAGACTACACACGTAACTGCGAGCACAAAACGATTTTTGAGATTATCAATCTGTTTTACATTCTTTAGAGTTCGCTTCATCCATGGGTGATAATGGCAAAGGAACCGTTCGCAGTACACCCCTGTACAAATATTCGTTGAGTACACAATTATAATGCACGGGCAGGGTTTGTTGACTAAATGATTCGTATTCATTTTAAAGTCCATTAGGGTTCGTGATAGCCGGAGTCTAAATAACATCAAGACCGCCTCCGTGGTCTAGTGGTAGAGCGTCCGCCCGGAGAGCGGAAGGTCCGGGGTTCGATCCCTGGCCGCGTCATACCAAAAGACGTTAAAAAATGGTACTTGTTGTTACCCTGTCTGGCGCTCGGCATTAAGGAGCTAAAACAAGGACTGGTCGGCTCGGAGTCAGTATACTGTGTCTGAGTGGGGTATTCATGTTAAACTGCGGCATGGTATCTCAGTGAGCTAGCACTATAAATCGGCATCAATCCGGACTAGTACAAGCAGCCACACACACACGTGCATGCACGTCGCTATATAAGTGCAATAATCTTGGAGGCGACGTTAAACCCCATTTCACCTCACCTCACCTAAATAACATCACTTTTTTTAAATCAGACAACTCATTGCATCATTTGTTTATTGACTTATCGGTACAGACAGTGTTTCTCTGGAGACGTCCTTTTGGTGTTTTCTGAAAGTAGGAATAAATAAGGTCAGTGTGAAAAACACAGGAAAAATGTGTAGTTAATATTGATTTAATCCCGACCCAGGCTACGATCAATCCGTCCATTTTTTAACATGAGTGAGTTGGGATTTGCGCCGATTTGAACAATATTTCAGTTTTATCACGGCCTGTCAGCTTATTGTGGGAGGGAAGCCCGAAGTGATGCAGGTCTCGGACGTTTACCACTTTAGTGAAACCCACGAACATCGACAAGGTTTTGACAAACCTAAAAACACAATCAGGTCGAAGCGGCATTCGAGCCCACGGCTAGAGCTTTCTGGAACGCCTAAGTGACGAACAGCACTTAGCTTGCCTTTGCTCGAGACTATACTACATCCGTGCCCCCACCGAGAAGAAGAATATCACCATCATTACCTGACTAGGTCAGGCTTTATTCTGATGACCTTTCGGCTACCCGAAGAGCAGACCCCTGTTGCCTTCACCATTCCGGGGGGATCCACCCAAGAACCTATTCAGGAACTCTTGAGTTTTCTTTTTTTGTAGTTCTTGCTTTTTCTTTTCCTCAGCAATTGCAATGGCGCCCGCATTACTCGTTCCCCATTCATTAGATTCTGTTGGAATGTCTGGCTTTTCTTCATCAGACTCGTCTTCTTCGTCATATTCCTCTTCATCATATTCCCCCTCATAAGCCACTGGTTCGTCCGATTTCTCCGTTTGGTTTTGTGGGTTCCCTTTGCCATTTTGTTTCAAGTCAGACTTGAAATCCTTCACTGAAAATTCATTCGCAGTTATAATAATGTCTTTGTTAATTTTCCATAAATTGATTCATACAAGTTTAGTTCACGGTTTGCCTTAACATAAAACGCCAGAGAATAACCATTATCTCGATTATCCGCCGAAACAGATTCCGTTGGGCGTTCAAATGTTGTACTGACACCGGGTGTTTGCCAAAAGGGTAGATGTGGTCTGCCCTTCCGGTTGCACATGCGCAATGTACATAAAATGATACGTGTTTCTTGTCTAACGTACTTTGCAATTTCACGGCTCATTTTGCAACTCTCTCTCTCTCTCTCTCTCTCTCTCTCTCTCTCTCTCTCTTTTTCTCTCTCTATTTCTCTGGGGCCACGGGTGGCCCAGTCGTCGAAGGCGCCGCGATTCGCTGTGCAGAGTTGCGTCCCTTAGCACGCCAGAAACCTATGATTGTGGGTTCGAATCCCGGTTCGCCCCGATTATGTTTCTAGGTTTGTCAGCACCATACCCGTGCTCGTGGGTTTCACCGAAGTGGTAAACGTCTGAGACCTTCATCACTTCGGGCTTTCCTCCCACATTAAGCTGACACGCCGTGATATGACTGGAATACTGTTAAAAGCGGCGTTAAACCCAACTCACTCACTCACTCTATTTCTGTGTAAATATATCGACGATGAATACCCGTGTCAACAAGAAGGTCCAACTTCTCATCCATCTTCTGAAGCTGCGTCATCAACAGTTGGTGCTGGCGTGTAATACCTTGAGAACCTAGGTAAACAGGAGTTAATGTCAGACTGAATCAATTGAATTTCAGTGTGGAATTGTCAACGCTGCTTCAATATCATTAACATCACCCCTTTCTCTCCGATACGATACCGTTCTGCCTGCCGGTCTGGGGACACCCTCAAAGAAGGTCGCGTCAGGTGAACTGTCCATCAGCGTCGATACATTTATCTTCCCTGTTCGAGTTGGCGAACCATTCAGAACAGGAAATCTGATTTCTGTATCTCGTAAACGAACAGTTCCGAATGTCGATACAGAATCCGCGTCATTTCCTCGTTGTATACACCTTGTTCTGATGGCAGCATTACGTCCCAAATGACTACCATCTAAGGAACATGTGTGTTCAGTTCGCATTATCTATTGTTAACATCAAAATTTCCGAATCGAGATTTAGGAAAACTGACATCTGATGCGCCCATGATCCCCCATTTCCTATTGATTTGGCGGTCAAACTTGGCTCTGGGTTCGCCAGACGCGTTCTTCACGCAGAGTGACATCGTATCGGATTTACAGATCTGATTTCAATGAGTATGAACGTTTCCTTGAACGGCATGAAAATAAGTAAAAAGTTGTGTTATTAGGTGCGTATATTGCTGACCAATTGCTGTTAAAAAATCTTGAAAATAAACTCATTGCAACATTCCGATTCATCTGAGGCACCAGGGCGCCGTTCCACAAAGCGATCTTAGCGCTACGACTATCGTAAGCCAGTGTTAAAGTTGGGAATTACGATCACCGTAGCGCGAAGATGGCTTTGTGTAACGCGGCTCAGGTCTGACAGCCCCATCCATTCAGTTGCCTCGTACGATAAGATAGGGGGACCAAGTCAAGCCAAAGGCGGACCGACTGTGACTCGCGATCTGATAGGACCAAAGTCACATATAAGTGAAATCATAAATGATGTCCACAGTTGCGACCCTAACTTGAAATTCCGCTTCACCCTGATGTATCAGTTCTTGTGGGTTTCGGGGCACTCGGGTAGCCTATAGGTTAAAGCATTCGCTCGTCACGACGAAGGCCCGGGTTCGATTCCAGACATGGGTACAATGTGTGAAGGCCATTTCTGGTGTCCCCCGCCGTGATATTGCTGGAATATTGCTAAAAGCGGCGTAAAACCATACTTACTCAGCCTTGTGGGTTTCACAAAAGTGGTAAACGTCTGACCTGCATCACGTCGGACCTTTATGCCCATCAAACTGACAAGCCGTGATATAACTGGAATACTGTTTAAAGCAGCATTAAACTCACTCACTCAGACAAAATTTTGAAGGTCATCGAGTCATTCTCAACAAGACATACCTTGGGTGTAGACCACTGCGCACACAAAGAGCAGAAACAAACAGTGACGACAATCCATGTTGAAATCTGACGCGTGTCTGAAAGGCTGGTGTCGTCTGTGGACTTTATATGTGATACAACGCAGATATCACGTGATTTACTTGAGATTGAAATTATATGGCAACGAACAAGAGCATTTCAAAAGTATTCTGTCTATTGTGTAATTTCATGTTTGTTTCATTGTTCCTATATGTTTCATTCACTGATACCTTCCTTATTTTTTAAATATTTTTTTTTAAAGTTATTTTTAATTTTGTTTTATAATTTGATTTAAGTATGACCTTGTTGGGAATAATTAAGAGCTTCCTCTTTGAACAATATGCTCTGAAAACAAGTTAGGGGATATTCGAATACATCAGAAGATTACAGAAATACAAAGAGGTGTCGTGTGATGGGACAGACGAGGTCTAATGGGTTTAACGTCGCGTCCAAGATTATTGCACTTATATAGCAACGTGCAAGACGTCGCATGACGTTCGTGCGGACGCCCCAGATGGGCTGCATACAGACAATTTCTTATCCCCTGGCCAGAAACTTGAACTGTGGTGACCTGGCGCAAGTAAACAGCGATTTGATTGGCTGTTTTGGTAAAAAAAATCTTCGAACCTGTTTTTTGATTAATCGATCAGTCCCAAAAATATGTATCTACAAAATATAAAATCAAATCCAAATAGAGCAGTGTTTCATTTCCTAGAGATGAGGTAAACTAGACTTGCCAAAACATTCTAGACTTGAGTTGGATTCATTTATTAATTCATTCCCTTTAAGATAGTCTAGTGCTGGTGTTTCATGTAAATTAATAAATCAGTATTGCTACTCAAATTATTGGGGTGGGGTGGGGGATAAACATCCTGGGATTCGAACCTTCGACGTACAGATACTACTCGCAAGAATTTAAACAGTAGTATATGCCTCACCCTAATATCAATATCTTTAATATTACGTGAACCAACTTTTGGGACGGTCCCTCAAAACGCGGGGTCTACTTTAAAAAAAAAAATTAAAGCCAAACATATTATTGTAGACGCATACAGGCGCCTTTAAATCAAATAGCACTTTCAGGACATGCGTCTTTCTCACGAGGACTTATCATGGTTTCGATCTGTTTGAAGTCTTTAATCATTTGTGCATACAAACAAATATATCTTATGCTTTGACGTTATGAGAAACTGCATGCCATGTTTCCCAAATCGGAAACTTTTGCCTCGACCCACCCAACTGTTTGTTACCTCCTATGCCCGTGCTTTGCTTTGAAAAAGTTGTATGGTACATGTCAAGGGCATTTCCAAATTTCACGCATCAGTGTTTGTTTGTTGTTTTACGCCGCACTCAGCAATATTCAAGCTATATGACAGCGGTCTGTAAATAATCTAGTCTGGACCAGACAATCCAGTGCTCGACATCATGAGCATCGATCCACGCGATTTGGATACGATGACATGCATCAACCAAGTCAGCGTGCCTGACCACCCGATCCCGTTATTCGCCTCTTACGACAAGCATAGTCGCCGTTTATGGCAAGCATGGGTTGATGAAGACCTATTCTACCCTGGGTCTTCACGGGTTCACGCATCAATGACACAGGTGGGGCAGGAAATGCTTACCTTTTCGCGAACATGGCATGTCATTTTAACTATTGTAATATGAAAGAAACGGGATTTCTTAACATCTTTTGAATAGTATATATTGCCCATTCTTCTTTCAACCTTCCCAAATGTCTTTCGATACTCTTGTGGGTTCTGCTGCTACTCTCCCCTGTTCACCCTTCTTCTATTGTTCGCATTTTCCTGCTCATTCTTTTGCAATCTTTCACACGGTTATTTCATTCATTTCTGTCGTTATGCGAAAGCACATGCAATGCCAGATGCCATGTCATAGGCAGTTCAAACAACATTCCATTTTGTGTATACATCGACTGCATCAGTATTCCTTCGATAGTCTGATCCGGGAATTTGATTTTGTAAGCAAAATATTTATTCGAAAATAATTTTCGGAATTGTTGTTTTTCCATTCCGCCACCCTGCCACATACTTATCCATTCTGCCACCCTTGCCACATACTTGTCCATTCTGCCACCCTTCCCACATACCTATCCATTCTGCCACCTTCCCACATACTTGTCCATTCTGCCACCCTTGCCACATACATGTCCATTCTGCCACCTTCCCACATACTTATCCATTCTGCCACCCTTGCCACATACTTGTCCATTCTGCCACCCTTGCCACATACTTGTGGATTCTGCCACCCCTCCCACATACTAGTCCATTCTACCATACTTCCCACATACTTGTTGATTCTGCCACCCTTGCCACATACTTGTCCATTCAGCCACCCCTCCCACCTACTTGTCCATTCTGCCACCCTTCCCATATACTTGTCCATTCTGCCACCCTTCCCACATACCTGTCCATTCAGCCACCCTTGCCACATACTTGTCCATTCTGCCACCCTTCCCACATACTTGTCCATTCTGCCACCTTGCCACAAACTTGTCCATTCTGCGACCCTTCCCACATACTTGTCCATTCTGCCACCTTCCCACATACTTGTCCATTCAGCCACCTTGCCACATACTTGTCCATTCTGCCACCCTTCCCACATACTTGTTCATTCTGCCACCCTTGCCACATACTTGTTCATTCTGCCACCCTTCCCACAGACTTGTCCATTCTGCCATCTTCCCACATACTTGTCCATTCTGCCACCCTTCCCACATACTTGTTCATTCTGCCACCCTTCCCACATACTTGTCCATTCTGCCACCCTTGCCATATACTTGTCCATTCTGCCACCCTTGCCACATACTTTTCGATTCTGCCACCTTGCCAGAAACTTGTCCATTCAGCCACCTTGCCACATACTTGTCCATTCAGCCACCATCCCAACATACTTCTCCATTCTGCCGCCCTTCCCACATACTTGTCCATTCTGCCACCCTTGCCACATACTTGTCCATTCTGCCACTCTTGCCACATACTTCTCCATTCAGCCACCCTTCCGACATACTTGTCCATTCAGCCACCCTTGCCACAAACTTGTCCATTCTGCCACCCTTCCCACATACTTCTCCATTCTGCCACCCTTCCCACATACTTGTTCATTCTGCCACCCTTGCCACATACTTGTCCATTCTGCCACCTTGCCACATACTTGTCCATTCTGCCACCCTTCCCACATATTTGTCCATTCTGCCACCCTTGCCACATACTTGTCCATTCTGCCACCCTTCCCACTTACTTGTCCATTCTGCCACCTTGCCACAAACTTGTCCATTCAGCCACCCCTCCCACATACTTGTCCATTCAGCCACCCTTGCCACAGACTTGTCCATTCTGCCACCTTCCCACATACTTGTCCATTCTGCCACCCTTGCCACATACTTGTCCATTCTGCCACCCTTGCCACAGACTTGTCCATTTAGCCACCCTTGCCACAGACTTGTCCATTCTGCCACCTTCCCACATACTTGTCCATTCTGCCACCCTTGCCACATACTTGTCCATTCTGCCACCCTTGCCATATACTTGTCCATTCTGCCACCCTTGCCACATACTTGTCCATTCTGCCACCTTGCCAGAAACTTGTCCATTCAGCCACCTTGCAACATACTTGTCCATTCAGCCACCATCCCAACATACTTCTCGATTCTGCCGCCCTTGCCACATACTTGTCCATTCTGCCACCCTTGCCACATACTTGTCCATTCTGCCACTCTTGCCACATACTTCTCCATTCAGCCACCCTTCCGACATACTTGTTCATTCAGCCACCCTTGCCACAAACTTGTCCATTCTGCCACCCTTCCCACATACTTCTCCATTCTGCCACCCTTCCCACATACTTGTTCATTCTGCCACCCTTGCCACATACTTGTCCATTCTGCCACCTTGCCACATACTTGTCCATTCAGCCACCCTTCCCACATACTTGTCCATTCTGCCACCCTTCCCACATACTTGTCCATTATGCCACCCTTCCCACTTACTTGTCCATTCTGCCACCTTGCCACATACTTGTCCATTCAGCCACCCCTCCCACATACTTGTCCATTCAGCCATCCTTGCCACAGACTTGTCCATTCTGCCACCTTCCCACATACTTGTCCATTCTGCCACCCTTGCCACATACTTGTCCATTCTGCCACCCTTGCCACAGACTTGTCCATTTAGCCACCCTTGCCACAGACTTGTCCATTCTGCCACCTTCCCACATACTTGTCCATTCTGCCACCCTTGCCACATACTTGTCCATTCTGCCACCTTCCCACATACTTGTCCATTCTGCCACCTTGCTACATACTTATCCATTCAGCCACCCTTCCCACATACTTGTCCATTCAGCCACCTTCCCACATACTTGTCCATTCTGCCACCCTTGCCACATACTTGTCCATTTAGCCACCTTGCCACATACTTAAAATCCATTCTGCCACCTTCCCACATACTTGTCCATTCTGCCACCTTGCCACAAACTTGTCCATTCTGCCACCCTTGCCACATACTTGTCCATTCTGCCACCTTGCCACAAACTTGTCCTTTCAGCCACCTTGCCACATACTTGTCCATTCAGCCACCATCCCCACATACTTGTCCATTCTGCCACCTTCCCACATTTTTCTCCATTCAGCCACCTTCCCACATACTTGTCCATTCTGCCACCCTTGCCACATACTTGTCCATTCTGCCACCCTTGCCACAAACTTGTCCATTCTGCCACCCTTCCCACATACTTCTCCATTCTGCCACCCTTCCCACATACTTGTTCATTCTGCCACCCTTCCCACAGACTTGTCCATTCTGCCACCCTTGCCACATACTTGTCCACTCTGCCACCCTTGCCACAAACTTCTCCATTCTGCCACCCTTGCCACAAACTTGTCCATTCTGCCACCCTTGCCACATACTTGTCCATTCAGCCACCCTTGCCACATACTTGTCCATTCAGCCACCCTTGCCACATACTTGTCCATTCTGCCACCCTTCCCACATACTTGTTCATTCTGCCACCTTGCCACATACTTGTCCATTCTGCCACCTTGCCACATACTTGTCCATTC